ATCACAGCAATGAACAAATGGTTACACATGGGCAGGCTTAGTGAGAATTTAGTCCTAAAACTGGTCTGATCATTTCTAGGCAAAATGGTTTGCTGCAGTTCTAGGTACGCAAACCAGAAGCCCCGTGTGTACCTGTGAATAAATCTTCCTGCATAGCAAAGGCTTTGTCTGCGCCAGGCTGACCACACTGAAATCTCTCTCTCTCTCTCTCTCTCTCTCTCTCTCTCTCTCTCTCTCACACACACACGCCCTTTCTGTGTTGAAAGTATTCTCTCCTTGCCTTGTACCGTGTGTGTGTGTGTGTGTGTGTGTGTGTGTGTGTGTGTGTGTGTGTGTCACAGGAGTCTCTTATAATCCAGACCAGCCTAGACCTGGAACCTGCTGTTTCTGCCTTCTGCCTCCACCTTCTGCGTGGTGGATGTAAGTGCTAGTATTGCAGGTTGTGAGGTACTGGGAATGTAATAAGCATTCTTGAAACTGAATTACATCCCTAGGCAACTCTAAGGTCACTAAGGTCTCAACTATGTAGAGCAGGCTGGCTAATTGTTACTGGTTTTTGTTTTTTGTTTTTGTTTGTTTGTTTGTTTTTAAGGCAGGATTTCTATTTAGCAGCCCTGGCTGTCCTATCACTAACTGGATAGAGCAGGTTGGCCTCACACAGTGATCTGCCTGCTTCTACCCACTGAGTGCTAGGACTGAAGGACAGTGTCAACAACCATCACCCCTCATCCCGTACCTCCAAATCCCCATTTCCCAATACCCCTTTACTCTGCCATCCTTATTTCTTTTGAAAATGTAAATAATGAGCCAGGCAGTGGTGGCACACACTTTTAATCCCAGAACTCCAGAAGCAGATGGATCTCTGTGAGTTCGAAGTCAGCCTGGTCTACAAGAGCTAATTCCAAGACAGCTAGAACTGTTTCAGAGACCCTGTCTCGTTTAACAACAATGGGCTGCAGAGATGGCTCAATGCTTATGAGCACTAGGTTCAATTTCCAGCACCTATTGGAATTCGCAACTGACTGTAACTCCAGTAACAGAGGATCCACAGACATACATGCAGGCAAAACAAACAGAAAATTAAAATTAAAAAAAAAAAAGAACCTCACGATGGTGGCACACACCTTTAATCCCAGTACTTAGGTGGCAGAGGCAGGCAGATCTCTGTGAAGCTCAAGGCCTTTCTGGTCTACAGAGTTAGTTCCAGGACAGCCAAGGCTACACAAAAGAATCCCTGTCTGGAAAAATGCAAAAAAAAAAAAAATGCAAAAAAGAGTTTTGGGAAATCCTTTGCTATTCTAATTTATAGTAGATTAAAAGGTATCAAAATTAATATATAGACCGTTTCAAAATGAAAATGTACCAAATCTATGTAATATCCCTAGAATACATGGTGACAGTGGACAAGTGGAGGAAATAGTATCTCACAGTTACAACTAAATGTTCTGGTAACAAAAACCTAAAAGCACCAAGCCTCACTTTCCTTTCCTTCCAAATAGTGAGCACAACTTATAACTCACTTGCTTAAGCTTTTGACTTGCCATTCCTTGTTAGCCTTTCATCTCCAAGATGTGGCAGGAAACACATTGGACTGTGTGTGTGTGTGTGTGTGTGTGTGTGTGTGTGTGTATACACTACAAACATACCACTATAGCCCCAGTCTTCTATATACTCATTATTCAGAAAGAAACTTTTATGGAACATCCAAATGAGGCAATATTCTGAAAATTGGGCCATGAAACCATGCTTTCATGCATGCACAGATACATGATACACTCTAGTGTGACACGGGCCCAGTGTTCCCTCCATCCCAGACCCCAGTCATGTCTCCTTTATCAGCATCAAGGAAGGAAACACTAAGGAGGGTTGGTACAAGATCACTTTAGAAGCTGCTTCTACAGACAATTTTCTGGTTTTAATATCCACTGACATTTCAAATAATGGGAGTACTTCAATAATATTTTATAACCAGATACTAGGAAAATGTCCCTTGGTAATGAAGGTTTGAGATGGCTTTAGACTTACAGATGAGTACCCTTGCATAGGCTTGACTTCAGCCAAACTCACCAATGTTACTACTTCCATAATCCTGGTTTTGGTCCAAAAGGAAAAAAAAGTTATAGCCAGGCATTGGTGGTGCACACCTTTAATCCCAGCACTGGGGAGACAGAGTCAGGAAATCCAATCTACATAGTGAGGCCTTGTCTCAAAAGAAAAAAAGAAATAGAAAAAACATATGTGGGGAAAAAAAATCAGAAAATCAGTCATTAGCCCCATCCATTATGGTGGGTGACCTGGCCATATGAAGGACTAAGGGCTCAGAGTGAACCCCAGGGAAACAGGTCTTTGAGGGGCAACCAATCCCATCTGCAGAGCCCCATCACTGAGCCCCTGAATAGATACACCACCCCTAAATCCTGCATCTCATGCAAAGAACATGTGAGTTGAACACGTGAGTTGAGGATTTTATTTCCATCTTTGTGCATACGTGACAGGACACTAAAGTGAGTAAGATCAAAATTCACTGTATAAGACATTTTTAAAATAAAATATAAAAAAAGTCCCAACACTCAGGAAGCAGAGGCAGGAAGATCCTGGTCTATACATGCCACTGGTTACAGGGCCACTAGGGCTGAGAAAGTTCTCCAGAAAGAACAGAAAATCCAAAGGAAAAAAACTTTTTAAACCCCAACATTAAGCACATTCAGGTTAGCCAGAAATATTGGTTCATGTTGGAAATTCAGAAGTCTGAGACAAGATCTGGGGTTTGAGGTGATTTGAGGGGTTTGGGTTTTGAGGTGGGCAACATAGCAACTTCCATGCCTCCTGTGCTATGTGAGATTCTAGCTTAAAGCAATAATAATAATAATAAAATAAAAATAAAGGGAAAAATACAAACCAACAGTAAAAATAGTAGAAGTACTGAAGTTCAGCAATTCAGGGCACTTAGTTACACCCATGCCAAGTGACTCAGAACCACCTGTCACTCCGTGCTTGGAGATCTGATGCCCTCTTCTGGATTCCATGGTTACCTTCACTCATTTGCACAGAACAAAAACAGAAATACAAAAAATTCAAAGTAACATTTTTAGCCAGGTGGTAACAGTGCACACCTTTAGTCCCAGCACTTGGGAGGCAGGGGCAGGCAGATCTGAAGCCAACCTGGTCTGAGATAAGTCCCCACAACCCCAAAGATTTTCATGCGAGACTTTAAAAAAAATTAAGCGGTATTTATGGCAATCCTCTACTATTCAGACACCAACTGTGGATGGCTAGTAAGCAAGAATTCCGTCCTCCCTGAGCCAGAAGGAATTGGGACATTCACAGACAGGCTTCATGTACGTCTGACAGGTAACAGGTGACAGACATGCACGGAAGAACAAAACATAGAATTAAATGACACACACCCCAAGCATGGAACTCAGGGGCCAGAATGAGCTGCACGTGGTGTGCTCCTTGTGCACGCACACACACACACACACACACACACACACACACACACACACATCATTTATGAGTCATTTATGTACACGAAACTTGCTTCTTTGTGGTTTTTAGAAAAAGGTCTATCAGGAGACAGAGGCAGGCAGATCTGAGATCGAGGTCAGCCTGGCTAAAGTTCCAGGAAAGGTAAGGAAACCTTCTGTATTGAAAACAAAAACAAAACAATCAAGAAATCCAGGCTAGCCTCAAACTCACTAGCCAGGTGAGGCTGGCCCTTCTGTTTTCTCCAAGGGCTAGGAATACAGGTGCACCACCACAACCCAATATCATTCAACAGAGGGATTTAACATCAGTGATAGTCTGGTCTATAGCTGGGAGGTAGGTCTAATAGGTTGCGGGTGGACAGATCATAAGAAGATGGTTTAATGTACCTACAAACATTCCCTACTTGCTATGTCCAGGCCGCATGCCATGAGTTACACTCTTTTCTCAGATCCTACCGGTTAGTTTGCTGACTGTGGTCAATTTCTAGTAAGCAGGTCTTGACGACTGATGTTCATGCCTTTTCTGTGTGCACACAGGAAACAGAAACCTCAACAAGGTGGTCAAAGAAACCAGCAAGCAAGGCAATGTCTGGCTCTCGGTGCCAGCATTTCTAATTGACACAACAGGGCAGCAAGTGAGATCAGAATCCGCCTCAGTTCAGCATGCTGGAGCCCTAAAACTTTGCAGACGCAAAGCTATGATTACTTAAGTCCCTTTACATTAAACATACAATTCTAAAGATCAATGGTCTTACTGCTTAATATTTCCTCCACATTTAAAAGGCTTGCTAGCATTAATGGCATTGCTGTGTTGTACTGAAAGCTTAAACCTGCAAGCAATTTGCTAGGCTTAGGCTTACCCTAGCTTTGAACTTTTAGTGAGCCCATAGGCTTTTAAATTAACTCTTGCGAATACCATAATAACCAAGCGGCAGATTCTGAGCTAACGTCCAAATCAGGTTACAGCTGAACTCTCAGCATGCAATCTGCACCGGCATGCAATCTATACAGCAACTGATTCCTTCCAAGCTGTGACAGCTGGAACTAAGGTTGACACATTGAACACTTCATATTGAGCCTTGAGAGTTTAGCTGAAGTTCAGCTACAACCTAAGAACATTTCCCTTCCCCCACTCTGAGGAAAAAAAATGATCAGATTTTACCATAGTATTTTCTGGGTGCTTTTTTTTTTTTTTTTTTAAAATGTCACAATAAATCATAGCTGTGAACTTCTCTGCCATGGAGCTGAAGCCCACTGGATGCAATGACAGATGCAGGTGGCACCCAGGGAGCTCGAGAAGAGATTACTCAACACTTTGCATATAAACTTCCCGTCGTGTAAGATGTGTTAGAAAGCTGAAAATAAAGGATGCTAATGTGGACATAAGGGGGAAGGGAGGAGAGACTTGAGTGAAAACCCATGCATCCACTGTACTGCAAATTCACCCTCGGGTGACAGAAAAATACTAATGAAATGGAAAAAGATAATATCATTTAACCAACAGCTGATTACCTTTAAAACTTTGGGCTTCTTTTCCCTCTGGGGCCTCTTGTTCTCTTTTGTAACCTAAAATTTAAAAAAATTAAAATTGAATTATGAGCCTCCATTAAAATGATATATATATATATATAATATATATATAAATATCAGTTCCCACCCTTCCCCCCCAAATTTTTTTTGCTGCTTCTCTGTAAAAACTACTTATATCTCAATTTTTAATACCACCAACATATTTGTCAGTCAGTTCCTGAAGAGCTCATGTAAAAATGTACTTTAAAAGTCAATGGAAAGAAAAACAATCAACAACCTTGCATAAATAAAGATGGAGGGAAATGCCCCCTTTCCCCCTAAAAGTCTTTCTTAATTAGACTCTGCATTCTTCACGGCGAAGCCCACGAGGTAGCCATCTTGCCTGCTTCTGCAGAGGAAGCCTCCACAGAGAGCAGTTCTGCAAACTGCTTTTGGTATCATTATCATGGTGTTTAAAGGCAGCCCTGGCCTGCCAGCACTGTAGACGTGCTGGGCATGCCTTTTGCAAAAACAGCCCCACAAAGAGTGCAGCCAATGGCAAGGCAGAGCTTAGAGACTCCAAAGTGATCTTCGCAGCCTAGCACTATCCCAGACAAAGGATCTCTGTGAGGCTGGGCTCTCACCACAGGACACAGGCAGCCACAAGCTGCGACATGGAGTTCTCTACAGAGGATCTGGTCGCCGCCACCGAAATCACAGGAGGCTTCAGCAAGAGACAATGTTCGCAAATCCCCCAGGTCGCCACCATCGGATCGATGGCGGAGTCTCCCTGAGCAGGAACCTCTGGGTGGCACCAGGGCAGGTTGGCGCAGGGAGGGGCGCGCTGCTCTGTACCACCCGGCAGCAGATAGCCCTGAGCCTAAGGGGGCATCGGAGCTCACAGCAATCCGGGAAGGTATTGTGCATTTTGACTTTATAAGGCAAGACTAAATATTGGCGATATTGAAGGAAGGGAGGTTACGTGAGGACAGCACAGGCTCAGCTGTAGTGGGGCTGCCTGTCTCATTCCTGGGAACCACACCTCGGTGCAGCCGGCGGAGTAGCCGGCGCTTGGCCCAGATAACAACGATTTGATTTCTGTCAATAAATGTCCAACGATAAAGTCAGACTAAAAAAATAAATAAATAAAAAGCAATCAGGCACTCCGAAGAGAAACAGGACGGGATGGATAGGAGAGGAGGGTGGCGGTTTTTCAAAATACACTTGCCACTCTCGGTAACTAGAGATGGGAGGCTGTGTGTAAACTGGTGACCTTCAGTGCCAAGAAATTCGCGGCAGACTCCAACCCGAACCTTTGGGAGAAAGGGGTGTTTCTGGCTCCTCTCCACCCATGCATGCAACCAAGCCTGCCTGCACACCACCTTTTAATAGTCCAAACCACCCAGGGGTAAGCATGCCACCTCAGCCCTCTGCAACCAACCGACTGACAGACACACACACACACCTGGACTTCACCCATGCTCAGTGGGTGGTAGCCATTGGGAGCTGGCACCACATGACACCTGCCAGACACCAGAAAAGGCAGGACCAAGAAGAGCAGTCTCTCTTCAGCTAGCTCGCTTGCACTTCTGCAAACAGCCGCAAAGACTCTAGTGGCAGAGGACCAGAGTGGCTGTGTCAAGTTGGGCTGGTCCCAAGGTCATTGCCAAAAAGCTGCACAGTGACAGATCCCAGTCCCATCCCAGCCACCTTGACAGCTGCACAGATCTTGGGAAGCAAGCCCACTCCTGCCTCCTGGGGCCAAAGTTTCTGCAGTACATTTGCAGGATTGGCAGGATGGTTTTCCTGCCTGCGAGGCCAAAAATGGGTTTTCCACTTGCAGTTGGATTCAGAACAGATTCCCACAACCAGAAACTCGGAATTGAGTGCGGGCCGGAAGGCCTGCGTTCCGTCACCCTCCCTTCCGAGGCTCGGAGGCTGCCACGAAAGCACACTTTCCTCGTACAGCGTGCATTGATTTCCCATTTATTTAGTTATTTATTAGCACGGTGGCTTGAACCCAGGGACTCATGCGTGCTAAGGAAATGTTCTAATGAGCTAGATACTCCCCTGTTCCCAGATTTCCCACTCTACACCATTCCCAAAAATGCCCAGCCACCCAAAAAGTTTCTAATTCTCAAATGGGGAGAAAAAGAAGCTAGACAAGGTGACAGCACTTTAGACTGACTCTACCCCTCTGGAGGCTGAGGCGGGAGCTTTCATACCCTCAAATAAATAATCATACTTGCAATTGAAGCACCCTGGGGAAACTGAGGTAGGAGCACTACCTTGAATTCAAGGTCAGCTTGGAATGTAGCAAACACCAGTGGTTTTTTATAAAACCAGTGGTAGCTTTATAAAACAGGATTGTCGCCCAAACAAAAACAAAACAAACAAACAAACAAAAAAACCAAAAGGGCTGGGTGGTAATGGTGCACGCCTTTAATCCCAGAGAGGCAGACAGATCTCTTCTTTGAGTTTGAGGTCAGTCTGGTCTACAGAGCTGGTTCCAGGACAGACTCCAAAGCTACAGAGAAACCCTGTGTCAAAAAACCAAAACCTCAAAGAAAGCTATCCCAGTACCTGTTCTGAAAAATTAGTTAATGAAGGCAAAGTTCATCTGAGCCAAATAAGTAGTTCATACAAGTGCCCAGGGCTACACGAAGTCCACTCCCAGCTACTGGGGTAGTTGAGGGTGCAGGTGTGTCTATCCCCAAAGCAGTCTGTTCCGTTGCCAGCCCCGTGAAGATCTGGGGCTCAGTTCAGAGCTGGGAGTTTAATAGGTTAAATCAGCAATCAATGGAGGTATTCAAAGGTTCAGTAAAGGTTCAGGGGGAAGAGACGCGGCTCCGTGTTTAGGGAGTGCATGTTCTTTACAGGCTATGGGTTCAGTTCCCAGTACCCATGCCAGGGGGCTTACAATCTAACTCCAACTCTGCGCTCACCTGTACACACACACACACAGAGGCAGGCAAGCACACATGCACAGTTAAAAATTGTTTAACCCTGAGAGCCGTTCCAGGGTGGGGAAAAGGCTCCATGACCATCTTGCTGCCAAGCCTGATGGCACGTATGAGTTCCACGGCACAGTCACATACACAAAGATTTCGGAGAACCACCCCCATATCAAGTGCATCCTGCAGAAAGGTAAATGGGTCCGACACTTGCTGTAGAAGCCAGGTGCGGTGGTGCTGGTGTGAGTTCAGCACATCGGGAGTGCAAGGCTGGTCTCCGGAAGAAAGAGAAAAACCCAGAATCTTTATCAATAGATGGGATTGATTTTGTCCACTGACAGTGGTTCTAGGAAAACCTTGGTAGTCCTCTCTACAGTCTAGCCACTGCCCAAGCCTCCTTTTGTGAGCTTCACACAGCCCCCGCCTGCCCCAGACGCAATTGCAGGACACTGAAACTAGCTTGCTACCTGGCCGATCTCTGTTGGTGAATTTTTTGATAATGTGTGATCCAGGTAAAGAATTGCAGATTTAGCAGGCAGTGGTGGCCCATGCCTTTAAGAATGTTGAGCCTATTTATATTGGAACCTCCCCACCAACTCTTACCCCAGGTCTAGAAATGCTATATGGTCCAAGTCCTCAAACAAATAGCAACTGGAGAGAAGGCTTGCTGCTCTTGGACCTGAGTTTGGTTCCCTGTATCTACTCCAGACTGCTCTCAATCACTGGCCTGTTACTCGGCTCCAGGGGATCTGGCCTCTCCCTCCTTTTCTGGCCTCCAGGCACCCAAACACATGTGGTCTACACACACACACACACACACACACACACACACACACACACACGAGTAATATATATTGAAATAAAATAAAAGCACTCATGAACCCGAGGCTAGTTGTCAGTCAGGGCTACACAGCTTGAACACAGTTTTGAAAAAAGGCCTTTGACATTCTTACTCCTTGCTCCATTTCTGGACCCGGAAGGGTGATGTTTAGCATTTTGCATTATCCCTTTAGGGATAGCTTGCAGGTGTCAGGAGCTAAAGGGTTAGCCCCAGCTAGAAAACCAGGGCTATTTTGCCACAGGTCACCTTGAAAGATAATTGGTAGAGCATTGGGGTCTGGCATCAGGGGTCAAGGAGAACTCCCAGCACTGCTGATCCCCACCCTGATCTCCTCATGTATAATACAGTCATATACACCCCACTGGTGCCATGATTAAATTGAGTGCTCCCGACTTGCAGCCAGTGTAATTATGTCATTGGAGAATTATGACTGTCCAAAATTTATAAAACCAAGTACAAGTGAACAATATAATAAAAAATTAAAAGGCGGGACTGGAGAGATGGCTCAGTGGTTAAGAACGCTGGCTCCTCTTCCAGGACCCTAGTTCAATTCCCAGGCACATGGTAACTCACAACTGTCTGTAACTCCTGTTCTAGATCTCACACCCTCACCTAGACATGCATGTGGGCTAAACACCATTGTACATAAAATACAAATAATAAAAAAAAAAACCTGTTGAGGTGCTGGGTGTGGTGGCACACGCCTTTTAACTCCAGCACTCGGGAGACAGAGGCAGGTGGATTTCTGCAAGTTAGAGGCTAGCCTGGTCTACAGAGCAAGTTCCATGAAAGTCAAGGCTACAACACTGAGAAACCTTGTCAATAAAAAAGGGGGGGTGGAGACAAACTGCTGAGGTCTGGTGATGGAATGTCCATTTAGTCTGCTCAAGGCTCCAGAGTGAACCCTGAGCATCACCCCACCCCATATAGGATTCTTAAAGAAAGCAAGTGGCTGTAATCTTGGCACTGGGGTGGCAGACATTAAGAGGATCCCTTAGACTTGCCTGACAGCCATTCTAAGGAATAGCGAGGAAGACATATCTGAAAAGGAATTTAGGATTCCAACACATTTTCTTCCCAACCAGGCTGTGGCTGGGCTCTGCCCCTCCAGCCCTCATATTCTACTTATCTCCAGGCTCAAGGAGATGAACAGACCTCCCACACCACATCCTGATTCCACACCAATTACAGCCTCAGGCAAGTCATCTGGCCTCTTGGAGCCCCCACGATTACTTCCAATAGCTGGAGGCAGAACGTCTTTGCAGGACAGCTTGTGTGTCAAGAGTTAATGCAACATTGGAAAGACCCAACACTCAATACACAAATTAACCCGTTTCAAGATACCGATGTTGCCTTGCTGGACAGGACATACCCATCATCCCAGAAGATGAAAGCAAGTTGCCTGTCAGTCAAGGATACAGTGAGACCCTTTTTAAGATGAACAAAACAATGAATACAAAAAGATCAAGCAAAGATACCAATGTTACTATATATGTACAGTTCCATACTGTGATCACAGAATTCAACCAATATCTGTAATAGTACCCAATATCTATATGGAACCTCTGCCGGGTTCATGTTCAGTGTCTGTCTCTCTGTCTCATGTCTATCTGTCTCTTCCTTCCCCCCAGGCATACTTTTTTCTTTTGAAGGCCAGTGATGGCTTAATCCCAGCACTTGGGAAGCACTGAGTTCGAGGCCAGCCTGGTCTACAAAGTGGATTCCAGAATAGCCAAAGTGGTTACACATAGAAACCCTGTCTTGAAAAACATTATCATTCGTTAACAAGACTAAAAAATTAAAACCGTCCTTGTCTATCCTGTGAACTCTTCATAAATCTCTCTGTAAGTATTTTGCTGTATTTAGTATTTGTTGGTTTCAGTTCTTTCGCCCTAGAAAAATGCCAGACACTTTCTTTCCCCACTACCAAGAAGTGAGCTGCAGGTGTAGCAGACGACAGGGTGCTTGTTTAACTCTGCCACATCCTTAGGTTCCAGCTGCAGCAACACATGTTGGTACACACCTGTAATCCCAATAATACAGAGGGGGAAGAGACAGGAGGATGTGAAGTTCGTGGCCCTCAGCTACACGGCAAGTTTGAGGCCAGCCTGGGCTCTTTGAAACCCTGTCTTGAACCTGTATCTGACCCAAAGTGACCTACCTCATCATGTAGTTTGTTCCCCTCTCATCCCTTTTCCAGGTTAGAGTGCTGCAAGCCAAAATCTAATTAAAAGTTGTACGGGTAGCTAGTAATGAAGACATAGTCCAGGTATGGGTTCATTTTTGTTCTTCCTTGACTTGGCAGGGACTCCTATAACCCAGACTAGCTTTCTGTAGCCAGGGAACTCCTGCCTCCGCTTCCTACACGTTGGTGGTGTGGCTCTTGGGAAGCAGAGGCAGTCGGAACTAGATGGAGGCCAGCCTGGTATTATATAAAAGGAGACAAAAGCCTATGCCTGAGAAGTCAACTTGATTCAATATGGAATATTGATGTTTTGACAAAAGGACATATAACCAATTGAGTTCCAGGCCAGGGTTTCACAGAGAAACTGTCAAAAATAAAATTTTAAAAAGGGGCTAGAGAAATGTTTCAGAGGCTAATACTGGCTATTCTTCCAGGGAACCCAGGTTCGATTCCCAACATCCACATGGCAGTTCAGTTCTGGGGGACCTGACACCTTCAGACATATGCAGAAAACATCAATGCACATAAAGTAAAAATAAACTATTTTTTCTTTTAAATTGAATTTAAGGAGCTGGAGATGGCTCGACATTTCGGAGCACCTGCTCCACTTGCAGAGAGGACCTGGCTTCCATTATTGGCACCCACACTCGTATGCAAAAAATAAGTGTTTTGTAAATGGTCTTAATTTCTGGCACTTCGTTAAAAAAAAAAAAAGCTTGCAAATTACCTAAGAGATTCACATACAAAGGCAGACAATTTTTTGCTGTATTTCTCCTATATGCAGGCTAGGCAACATCCCATGGCTTGGCTCAGCTGTAGCCTTGCCCTGTCCCACCCTCCCATTTCCTCCTGTCTTGACCCCACCATTGCTCTTTAACAGAAAAGTTGATCATGAAATAGGTTCACATAGGAAATGATATAAAAACAAGCTGCAGAGTGTAAATAGATAAATGCAGAGAGCAAAAGCCTCTTAATACAGGGGGACAAGAAAATGGCTGCGTCATGGCTATCTCAACGGAAACCAAGAGAATTGTTTCACAAGGGTACAAACCAGCTTATTTACAACACCCTGACACGGAAAAAAAAAATTCTTCTGCACAGACAGGAAGAACTGGTGAGCTCTGGCTGCCCCTGAGGACCAGTTACTGTGTGTGAATGTGAGCATGCATGGAGGCCAGAGGTCATGTCAACCTAACCTGCTCCTCAGGAGCCATCAACCTTGTTTTTTGAAACAGGGTCTCAGTGAACTAGGAGTTCACTCATTTGGCTAGCCTGGCCACATGCTGACCAAACCGACCAGGGGAGGAAAGGGTTTGGGTTTGCAATGCTCCAATCACCACCCATCCTTAAAGTCGGAGCATCAGGCAAGAACTAAAACAGAGGTCCTGGAGGAGAACACTGCTTACTGGCCTAGTTGTCTTTTTCTTGGTTTTCCAAGACAGGGTGTTTCTGCGTAGCCCTGGCTGTTCTAGAATTGCCTCTGCCTCGGGAGTGTTGGGATTAAAAGGTGTGCCCACCACATCAGGACACCTTGAGGCAAGGGGAATGCTATCAGTTGCAAGCCAACCTGTGCAGCCTCGTGGTACATTGTCTCCTAAAACCAAGCCAAGAGGGTATGACCTATCCCAGCACTTGGAAATCTGATGTAGGAAGATCAGCAATTAAAGAAAGGCCAGCTTTAGCTACATAGTAACTTGTCTCAAAATAACTTCTTTAAATTTACATTTACTAGAGCCCAGAGGTGCTGTGGCCCACGCTTTTCATTCCAGCACTTGAAAAGGCAGAGGCGGGTGGGGCTGAGTTATAGGGCTGCCTGGTCTAGAGTTAGTTCCAGGACTGCCAATGGCAACACATGGCAACACTGTTGCAAAAAGAAAAAATCTTGGTGAGAAAGGGAAAAAAAAAAAAAATCCCGGTGCAACGCCGAGAGCAGGACCTCTGTTCTCTACCTCTACTAAGTTGTCAGACCTGAAGGCAAGCACATTAACCACTGATCTGTCCCTCTTTGGTCCCCAGGACTTTCTAATGTTGCAATATTCTATCATCAAGGTAGTGATGCCCAGCTTCAGTTCTCTACTAAAAGCAACTCCCCAGGGATCTGGAGCCGCAGAGTGCAGACAGTGCCAGAAATACACTGGTTGTAGGTACTAGTTAATTTCGAGATAATCTGGAAATCAAATAGAGGGGACCTGGGTACATCAATCATTGGAAGAATCCACATTTAATATGCTAACAGCCATGATATGTTTTCAATAATACTAACAAGCGACTGGCCCATCTGATACAATAAAAGTCCAGGAGTTCAGCCAGTACAATTCTGTCTCAAAATAAATAAAAATTCTCAGCTGGGCGCAGCAGTGCAACCGAGTTCAGGTAGATCTCAGTTCAAGGCCAGCCTAGTCTATAAATGGAGTTCCAAGACAAGTCAGGGCTGTTATACAGAGATACCCTGTCTCAACAACTACGTTAAAATACTAAAGCAATTAAAAATTTACACAATACCTCTTTTTGGAAGGTGGGGGTCACAGTATAGCCCAGGTTGGCCTTAAATTTACAGTACCCTTCATTGCATGTGGCCCCATGGCTGCCACACACATGATGGAGTTGGCAGTTGGTTCTTTCCTTCCACGAAGCAGGTCCCAGGTTGCAAACTCGGGTAACCAGACTGGGGGCCGAGGGGAGAGGGGCATGGCATGTACATTGCCCTACTGAGCCATTCATGCAGGTATGCTCAGGACCTGAAGCACGGGTGTCAGGCAGTCCTGAGCCACCTGATGCAAGGCTGGAGACTATGGCAATCCTAGCCTAGCTCCATATAACCTTGGCTATACCAATCAAGATGAAAAGGCTGAGCTTGCTGGAAGCCCTCAGTTCAATTCCCAGCATGGCTCCTCCACAAGACATCACTCACAAGTTCTTGGAGATGTTCATGGAGATGAACATTTTATGTATGAGGGGGCAGGGTCTCCAAACCCTGAAGATACACCCACCCACATGGCTGCTCCCTCACCTGTACCAAAGTGGCATCCGGCTTCTTTTTGAGCACCTCACATTTCCTCTTCTTGCAGATCTGGTGGCTGTTCTTTCTGTTCATGCAGTAGGTACATTCACCGCAGTTGGTCTTCTGTCGGCAGGGCTCACAGACCCCGCACGGCTTCCGTTTCTTCCTCTCCACAGTTGACGGGGTAGATTTTTGTGAAGAAGAGGTACTGGCCTGTGACACTGGCGTCGACATCCCAGTGGTTTTGACATCAGCTGAGCTGGCCGTATTGACCTGAGAAATCCCCCCTTCCAATTTGCTGGAGGTAGCCTGAGAGCCCTGGGTAAGATCCAGGGGAGCATGCTGGAGTCCACTCTCAGGGTCAATGGTAAACCCTTGCGTGTTCGCTGGAGAAGGGTTGGCACAAAACTGCTTCTCATCTTGGACACTGGTTGCAGCTATTGCTGGAGGTATTGAACTTATCTCAGAGCTTGCTGGAGGTTGGGGAGCATGTCCTGAGTCCAAAGTTAAAGGGATAGCACCTTGGACCTCAAGCCCACAGGAGGCATAGCTGTGGGGCTCGGGCCCGGGAGGAATGCTGTAGGTAACAAATGGGAGTGAAGGGTTTGGAAGGAAGACAGGCAGACCTGGGGAAGCAGCCATATTCATGTTCATCGTTCCTTGTGGGGTTAGCATAGTTATAGCACCAAGATCCTCTGGTGGGCCTGAAACCTTGCCCAGGGCCTCCCCAGGAACTAAGTTAGCACCAGGAAATACCCACTGAGGTGGGAGCGCACTGAAAGCCTGTCCAAGGACAGAAATGGCATCCAGAAGCTGATATGGGTAGCAACCTCCTTGATCTGGGTCAGTTTTGAGGGTTCCTTCTTGGGGTTTAGCACCAAGCGTATCTTGATCTGGGTAACATCCACCTTGATCTGGGTTAGTTTTGAGGATTCCTTCTTGGGGTTTAGCACCAAGTGTATCTTGATCTGTGTAGCATCCACCTTGATCTGGGTTAGTTTTGAGGATTCCTTCTTGGGGTTTAGCACCAAGTGTATCTTGATCTGTGTAGCAACCACCTTGATCTGGGTTAGCTTTGAGGATTCCTTCTTGGGGTTTAGCACCAAGCGTATCTTGATCTGGGTTAGTTTTGAGGATTCCCTGTTGGGGTTTAGCACCAAATACATATTGATCTGGATAGCATCCACCTTGGTCTGGGTTAGTTTTGAGGGCTTCTTCTTGGGGTTTAGCACCAAGTGTATCTTGATTTGGGTAGCATCCACCTTGATTAGGGTTAGTTTTAAGGATTCCCTCTTGGGGTTTAGCACCAAATATATATTGACCTGGATAGCATCCACCTTGGTCTGGGTTAGTTTTGAGGATTCCTTCTTGAGGTTTAGCACCAAATACATATTGATCTGGATAGCATCCACCTTGGTCTGGGTTAGTTTTGAGGGTTTCTTCTTGGGGTTTAGCACCAAGTGTATCTTGATTTCGGTAGCATCCACCTTGATTAGGGTTAGTTTTAAGGATTCCCTCTTGGGGTTTAGCACCAAATATATATTGACCTGGATAGCATCCACCTTGGTCTGGGTTAGTTTTGAGAGTTTCTTCTTGGAGTTTAGCACCAAGTGTGTCTGGCTGTGAGCCTGCCAAGAGGAATCTTATCAGAGCCGTGGGATACATGGACCCATCAAGAGACAAGCAGTTTTTAAGGTCCAATTCAGGTAGAATCTTAAAACTGGAGGTGGGAAAGCAATTAGATTCACTTCCCATAGGATTCAGGGGAGGATCTGATCGCTTAAGAGAGTTTACTTGTGACCCCAAGGCTTCAAACTGATTGCTAATGTCTTTCTGAGAGGTGACTTCGGGAGTTGATCTTTGGGACAAAGGTGCACACTCCTGAGGGGATGTGCTGACATCATCTGATGTCTGAAGAGTGAGTAGTCCCTCACAGTGTGTCCCTTCCAGTGGCCCAGAAGGAGTATCTGTTGCAGGGCAGCTTTGGGAACCTTCTATTGTTTGAGGCCAAGACTGGGTTATCTCTTGGATCTCACCTTCAACTAAACACAAGCTCTCTTCACCAATTAGGTTCTCTGGATCCGGGGACACGGTGGGATCTTGGCTGGGGATGCAATCATTTTCTGAGTGCTGCGTCACCACATCATCCTGGGTATCGTCGCCATCCTGGGTATCGCCATCCTGAGTACCATGACACTGCTGCTTTGAAGCACTCTTAGCAGGTGACACTTTCTTAGGTCTGGGTGTAACTACCGGGCTCTGGGAGAGTCTCCTGCTCAGAGAGCTTCTTCGTAGAGCCATTGTAAACCCACTGGAAGCTAAGGACTCTGGACTCTCAACTTGAATCCTATCCTGATTCATTCTGGCTGCCCCAGCTCTGGTCAGAAGGCTTCTGGGTGGTGTGGGGGGTTTGTCTTCTGCTTCTTTCTTACCATCTCTTTGAGTTAGTTGGTTCAGCTTTCCAGGGTTCAGCTTCCCTGATTCCCCATGTTTGGCAGCCTGTTTTGATGTCGTTTTCTTCTTCTGTAGACCTGTCCTGACTGCTTTGGAAGGCTTCGCATGGCGGGACCGAGACATGGCTGCACAGCGGGAAGAGATAAAAGGATGCAGGGCCCAGAATCATTGGTCCTTTACAGAAGCCTTCCTTCTGGGGAGAAACTGGGCTGTTGCCACGTCCAGTCACGTGAGGTTTTTGGTCTAAAAACAAAAACATTGTTGTTAGTCCTTTGTACTCAACTAGAAAGGTATTTGCTAAAATTAAGCAATAGAATGTGTACTGTCAAAGAATATACAGATAGTAGATTTAACTGGGCAGAAGGGCTCAAATTTCTATTCCCAGCATTTGGGAGACTGAATTGTGGGATATCCTGGGTAGAGTCAAAAACCTGTTTCAGTGGCTCCTGCCAGCAATACTAGAAGTTGAGGCACAGCTGGAAGATCAGGAGTTTAAGACCGTTCACAGCTACAGTGAATTTGAGTTCAGTCTGGATGACAAGATCTTGTCAAGAAAAAAAAAATAAAATAAAAAAAGGATGGCTTGCTCGGGACCTGGGTTCAATTTTCAGGGCCCACATTAAGCTCACAACTGTCTGTGACTTCAGTCCCAGGGCATCTCATGCCATCTTCTGGCATCTGGGTACTAGGCATGCACCTAGGTGCAGTCACTTTGATGTACATAAAGAGGACACTCATATTTTGTTTATTTTTCGAGACAAAGTTTCTCCGCATAATCTCATCTGTCCTTTATACCAGGCTGGCCTCTAACTCAGATCTGCCTGCATCTGCCTCCCTAGTGCTAGGAATTAAAGGTTTGCACCATCGCCCAGCTCTATCATTTGTTCTTTAAAAAAATAATTTACTGAATTTTTATGTGCATGAGTGTTTGCCTGTGCATGCTAACATAGGGAGCCAAGCGATCTTTCCAGTGTGCTTATCCTGCAGGTAACCTGTGCACCTACACACATAGGGGGCGCTATAGCTCCAGAGTTACAACACCTCCATGATCCGAGGCCACCCGTACTCACATGTGCACACATCCTCAGACACAATGTGAGCCAAGAATTATCCTAAGAACTGTTTCCATTATGAAATAACATCCATTCCAGTCTCAAATTTAGCAGGGTCAAGGTATGGTTTTTAATCTCCCACCAAGACGGCAGGACTAAAAAACAGAGAAGCATATAATCTAGGTACTGAAAAGAAAATTCAAATTTATCTTATGTGGGCCAGCAGTCTGGATACTCCAGAGGGTGTCCCTGATCTGCTTTTGGAAGCCGTTTACAAATTGATCAATTCTATTTTTAATTGAAGTACTTAAGAAACTCAGAGCGTAGTTAAATTACTATTCAAGTTTTATCAAAAAAAAAAAAAATCCGGGGCTGGAGAGAGCAGCAGTTAAGAGCACTGGCTGCTCTCCCACATGACCTGGGTTCAACCCCCAGCACCCACAAGGCAGTTCACAACTGTCTGTAACTCCAGTTCCAGGGGATCTGGCACCTTCATACCAAATACACATAAAATAAAGTTAAATATTTAAATAAATAAATAAATAAATAATCCAGAAAAAAGAAAACAGAAACGCCAAAGAAACGAGGTGCGAAGGATTCAAAGATGAGGTCAATGACCCCTAAAGTTCCAAGCAGAGAGGAAGAAAGCAGTGCCAGGCAGGAAAGCTTCAGAGACAACCAGGAGACAACAAGAGCCCCTGGAGCCTTATCACCATGAAGCCACTCACGCAGTGTAACCTTGTGATAAACTAGGGGAGGATTCTTTGCAAAATCTGAGGGAGGAAAAAAAAAAAAGAAGTAATGAAGCCATAAGACTATAATATTACAAGATATGCCCTAAAATTTAACTTTTAATTTTATAAATATGCCAGGTATTGTGGCATATGGTCTTTATTAACCCCAGTGCTTGTAGGCAGAGTAAGGCTCCTATGCCAGCCTGGTCTACAGAGAAAGTGAAGTCAATCAAGTGACAGTCAAGGTAACACCAACAAACCATTACCTTTTTAACAAGGACATTAAAAACTCATCTGGGAGAGGGTAGCACAGGCCTTTAATCCCAGCACTGGGGAGGCAGAGGCAGGAGCTCTCTGTGCATTTAAGGCCAGCCTGGTCTACCAGGGCTAGTTCCAGGACTGACTCCAAAACAACATAGAGAAACCCTGTCTCAGAAAAAAAAAAATGTACAAACCAACAGATTGTTGAGTTCCATAGAAACTTGGGCTACAAGGCATGTTCCAGGCCAGGCAGGACTATCTATCTCCAAACAAAATACAACAAAAAGCCAAAAGTGGATGTCTATAATCCCTCTGCCAATCAGAGACAGGAGGATCAACAAAGTCAACCTATATTACACTAGATGTAGAAGACCAGACTCATGAGCATTGAAATCCTGTCTGCAAACACTGGGGAGTAGTGGAATTGTTCAGTCACTTTTAGGAGAGTACAAAACAAAAAACATGCCACGTTGGGTGGTATGTCACCAATCTCAGTACTCATGGAGATTCAAATTCAAGGATGTCTTCAGATACTTCAGATACTTGGCTCAGTGGTTAAGATCAAAGGTCCCGAGTTCAATTCCTAGCAACCACATGTTTGATGACTAACATCTGATGCCCTCTCTGGGATGCAGACAACGTGCAGGGTCCTCAGACATAAAATAAAGGATACTGAGTATCATTCAGGTTGGGTAATATAGGCCTGTGATCCCAACTACTTGAGTGGGTAACCAGGTTAGAAAATTCATGACCCAGAGTGAGCTCCACTGGCCTGTCCAACTAAGACCCTCTCACAATGAAAGGAAAAGGAGCTAGGAATACAGCTCAGTGGTGAGCGCTTTACCTATCATGTCCAAAGTCCTAGGTTTACTCCTTAAAAGAAGTTTCGGTATTTCTGAATGTTTTATCCTAACCTCCAGATTTATCCAAGTATATCAATGCAATATAGTAATGTCTAAGAAAATACACCTGGTAATACCTTTAATAAAAATACAGAGCAGACCCAGGGAGAGCCATGTGTCATTAATACAATTAATATGGGACAAAAGTTCCAATTGTCCTGGGAGGAAACCATCAGCCTTGGGCTGGAGAAATGGCCCTGACTGGCTGTTCTTCCAGGACCTGGGTTCAATTCCCAGCAACTACATGGCAGCTCACAACTATAACTCTAGTTTCAGGGGACCTGACACCCAGGGCAAATACCAATGCATATTTAAAAAAAAAAGCCTGCTGGGGGGTGGTGGCACTCACTTTTAATCTCAGTACTCAGAGGCAAGTGGATCTCTGAGTTTGATGACTAACCTGGTCTACAGAGGGAGTTCCAGGAGTCACCAACCAACAGATCTGAGACATGAAACATGGAGTCTGGGGTAGAATCCAAGACCTGGAACACGCTAGGCAAATCATGCCCACCAAGTCTCCCCACCCAACACAGGGCTCACTAAGTGGCAAACTCGGTCAAGAACTTAAAATCCTTCTCTCAAAACCTCACTCAAGTCCTGGGATTATGGGTATATGCCACCATAATAAATTTATCTAGCCTAATTAGTCAATAGATTAACAGATTAAAACATTGCCTCAACAGGAAGATATGAGTTTGAGGCCAGCCGGGTCTACAAGAGCTAGTTCCAGGACAGCCACGGCTGTTAGAGAAACACCGTCTCAACAAACAAAACAAAAAAATTGCCTCAATATGATGTGGATTTTCCAAATTTTTCCCTAAGAACTCTTATAATTTTGTTTCGCAATTATTAAAATAATCAGGGCAGGCAGCAAGGAGGGTTCAGCAGGGTAAAGTCTCTAGAAAAGGCTGCCCTGTCCTCCACAAGCACCTGTGCACACAGTCCAAACACAGTACACTCAGTGTGCACATGCGCATGTGCACGCACACACACAATATAATACTTTTTTAAAAAATTAAAGTATTTGCCAGGGGTGGCACTGCATGCCTTAACAGTTGTTTTGGGGTTTTTTTTTTAAATAAAAGTATTTGAGGGTCAGTGGTGTTGTACACCTTTAATCCCAGCACTTGGGAGGCAGACACTGGTAGTTCTCTATGACCAGCCTGGTCTACAGAGCTAGTTCCAGGACTGTCAGGACTGTTACACAGAGAAACCCCTTCTGAATCAAAAAAAAAAAAAAAAAAAGCTCCTCTCGCTGTCCATCCCTCCTCCTTCAGATTCTCTGGAAGTCCCCTGGGCAGGCAGTGGCTGCAGCACGGATGTAACCACTGAGCCCAGATGTCAATTTGAAATTAATTACACTGCAGTCCTTCCTGCTACCAGCAGTGGTCCAAAGCATCATTTGCATGCCTAGGGCTACTTGCAAGCTGATTTCTGTCCCAGAACTTAAAGGCATCTTCGCTTAACCAAAATAGAATGAAAGACTTAAAACATTTTTTTGAAAAAAAGTTGTCACTGGGTTCGGTTTTCCCCACAACTAAGTTCTACACAGAATGGAAGGAGGGGCCAGTAGTTGCTGACTGTTCCCAGGCAGTGCACTACCACAGGAAATGTGAAAGCATGGCACACTCGGACACGCTGCTCAGGGGGACGCAGCAGAAAGCCAGCAGATGCAGCCTCTTTCCATATGTAAAACACCCTGACACCCCACAGAGGCAAACAGAGCCAAAAGGGAAGGGGGAAAATGGAGGTAGAAAGACCCATCCAAAAGTAAGAAAGATGGTGAGTAAAAACCAAGGATCAGTATTTTATGATAAAGGATGAAGGGACAGAAAACTAAAAAAGTATCCAAATGGTCACTGCACAGGCCTTTAGTCCCAGCACTCGGGCGGCAGAAGCAGGAGAATCTCTGTGAGTTAGAGGCCAGCCTCATCTGCAGAGTGAGTTCCAGGACAGTCAGGGCTACACAGAGAAACCCTGTCTCGAATTACCAAAGAAAGCGAAGAAATCCAAATGCCAAGAATTCACAGGAATAACGTGAGAAGTTCGCAGAAGAGAATGGGAGGTAGGGTAGGAGGAGACAAGGAGATTCAAATGACCTAGAGGTTAAAAAAAAAAAAAAAAAAAAGACAAGCGAGAAGAAATGAAGGAGACAGGAAGGATGTGTCCAAGAG